ATCCTTCTCCCTAATCAGATCCCCCAAAACACTTCATCTCGTGAATCGCGTTGATCCATGAGGCTTTTCAAGGCAGGTCAAAGCGGACGACCTGTCCCCACATCTCATGGTTTATGCAAAAGCGGTCAAAGACACAAAGCCTCTGCTGCGCAGCATCTGGAGTTTGGATGCCACAAAGATCCAAGTACTGCTGCCAGTACACCATACACTTTCAAAATTCGTGAGGCCCAAGTACTATACCAGTCAATTCTTTTCTCTCATTCGGTTGAAAAATATCTTGGAGACTTGTTCTTCTGGTGACGACAAAAAATTACCCAGCTTGCACCATGAAATGTTTCACCCGACCCTCGTGACTCGGAATGAATCCCTTTGGATCCGGCTGGCCGTCCCGAGCTCCGGGGCTCCCTGGCCCCGCTTATCCTTTGCGCACAGCGTGGCTTTCGCGGCCAAGAGCCGCTCGAGCACCGCCACGTGGCCCTCTTTGGCCGCATAGTGGAGAGGTCTTTGGCCTCGGGCCCCGTGCGGAGAGAGGCATTTGAGTGGTCAAAAAGGTCGAGAACTGCCAGGTCTTTGTCCCATCTTCTCTTGGAGAATGCTGGGTGAAAATACCAGTGAATTGCTGTTTCTCGCTACCCTTTCGGAAGGCTCACACCCTTCGGAGACTCCAAGGCCCCCTGGCGATAGCGCGTCTGGTCCTGGAGTTCGACATCTGCTCCAGCTTCGATGAGGCGTTGCACCTCCGTCGCATCGCCCTGCTGAGCCGCTCGGGCCAGGGCTGAAAGACCTGAGACACGGGCTGGGCGCGACTGAAGACCTCTTGAGCATCGTCGAGCCCTTCCGATCCGACCGGGTGAGACGTGGAACTAACACCCGATGCACAAGTTGTTTGATTGCAAGAGCCCCATGTGAGTCTTTTCTGTTGAAAGAGAAGGCGACACACACACACAAATTCTGAGGCTGCCGTGCGTGTAAACGACAGAAAAGTGACTTAAGACCTCTCTTTGGGAGATCTGAAGACCTCTCTCTGAACATCAAATACTTAACTTGAAGCGTTCAAGTTCAAAGTGTATAAGAGTCTTCATGCTGATCGAGCAGGCAGGCACAAAAACAACGGCTACTGTGCACTTTAAAGCAACAGAAGCCTCTAGGATATACATGGATATACTGATATACCAACCAAACAAATTCAACAGCCCAACCCAACAGCTTCAAATGCCCATTGGGAATGGACTGAGCTCCTCGCCGTCCTCATCAAGGTCCTTGCCGCTGAGTTGTGTCAATCTGTTCTGTGGTGATCTGCTGACAATGCAACGACACATAACGACACCATCTCCAGCAGCTGTCTGGATTTCTGTACATACACTTGCACAAGACAACAGACCGGTTATGGCGACCCGAAAGCGGATCACTTGGAAAGAGCCTGGAATCCTCCGACGCACACACGCAAATAACACACTTCAACAGTACTCCCCACATTCAACAAAACATCGTTCCATCATTCTGGGTGAGCAAGGTTTGGGGCAACAATGCGTGTGGAAATTGTGGGAAGCTGTCCCCAGCTCTGCTTCTACGATTGTCCACTCGGACTGTGCATCAGGATGCTTCCCAGATTGAAACAAGTTCCAAGCAGTGCAAACGCTTTGCAAACATTGATTCTAACTGCTTCTGTGACTTGCCACTTCCAACAAGTTGCGGCTCTTTCCAACAAACCCTCTTCTGAAAACAGTGAAGCTTAAAATCTAAAACAAAGCAACCATGAGCTCGCTGCATGAACTGTTGCTGAACCTGGAACCTCGGATGCTAACTTGGACACGCCGAGGTGCTGGACGAAGCAAGGCCATCGCCT